GGCGTACGGGGGGGGGAGCGGGAAGGGGGGGTTACTTACTGGGCTTGCTACACATTTCATCACATCAGCAAGTTTAACCTGTTACGTAGCTATATAAGGCAGACACCCACTGGGGTGTGGGTGCTTGCTTTGCGAATGATTGCCAAGCGCCACTTTCTGCACAGAAATAAAGATTAAGTTGGATCCTTCACCCCTGTGTGTTTATTGGCACAAGCGCACCGGGCACGAACTCACTGTCCTTTGGGGACAACAACACCACCACGGCTGCCTGCAGGAGCTCCCCAGACGCCACCTCCACTCTCCCAGTGCCGACACCGCCGCCTGCAGGCGGTCACCATGCCCCCCCAGCCTCAGTGGTCAAGCATCGTTCATGGGGTGGCCACCAGAGAGGACAGTCTGTTTGTCCTCTGTCCTCTATTGATACAAAACCAGACACCTTTATGTCCTCTATTTTTCTCTTGAAGAGAAAAATAGAGGATGTAAAGGCATCAGGTTTCATATCAACAGAGGACAGTAGCAGAAAGCCAGAATGTCCTTTACAATGGCCACCCTAGGCCTGCCCCACAAAACACGTTAACAGCAATTTCTTTGAAGGCTGCCTGTGGGTGTCTACCCTCAGGGGGCACAGAACACGCCTGCTAGTACAGCGCAAACTGGGCAGTTCAGAAGCCCCCAAAAAGTGCAAGTCAGCAGGCTGGGTCTAGACCCTGCTACACAGGGGCACATCTACAAGCTCATTGATGTGCCTTAGATACCGCGCATTTAGTTTGGTACTCAATAAAGTACTAACTAAATGCACAGTACCTAGAGTAACTGTGCAGTAGCGCCAGCGCATAGTGACGCTTACTGTGCATTAGCAGTAGGCTATTGGCACAGTTTGTGCTGTCAGGCACTACTGTACAGTATTATTAGCAGGGATCCTGGTTTTCTCTGGTTAAAAAGTCCCTGATTTTTGGATTTAAAAAAAAGTAACCCAAAATCCACATTTCAATAGAATTAGCCACTTAAAAGTGTTTAATTGCAACGGGACTAAGGAGGCTAAATCCCCAAGTGGAAGTGGGGGTTGAAACCCTCCAGCAGAGACACCCAGCTTGAGGAACATCTCTTGTGGGTGTGTTAATATCTCTGTATTAGTGGTGTTTCATTTTAATCATGGAAAAATGTGGACTTTTGGTTACTTCTTTAAATCCAAAAAGCAGGGATTTCTTTTATCAGAGAAAACCAGGATCCCCAGTTGTTATGATAATGTGCAGTAAGTGCCTCATTTACATATGCCCACAAGAGACTTTCCTCAAGACAGGTTTCTGTGCTGGAAGGTCTCAATCCCCCAAGGTCTGGAATAGCCTGCCATCCGAGGTGATTCAAGCAGCTACATTGAACACCTTCAAGAATAAATTGGATGCTTATCTTGCTGGGATCCTATGACCCCAGCTGACTTCCTGCCCTTCGGGCAGGGGGCTGGACTCGATGATCTTCAGAGGTCCCTTCCAGCCCTAATGTCTATGAAATCTATGAAATCCCCACTAGGGGATTCAGCCGCCTCAGTCCCATTGCATTTAAACTCTTATATTCTCCTACCAGCCCTACCCTTTAGCTCTCCTGGCTACAGAGGTCTCCCCAGAGTGTAGGGTGTCAGAACCCATTAATTAGATGCCTATAGCACAGAGGAGAATTGGTATAGCCCAGAGGAGAAATGACATAGCACAGAGGAAAATTCCATGGGTTTGATACATATGGCATAGTTTTGCTGTCAGTCATTCTGGTGGCAGTAACTAGGTCATGGAGGAAAATTCCGCTATGCCTGAACCCAGTAACCAAATGCTACAGTAGTGGAAAATTACAGTTTAGAAAAAAGTTCCCGCCACTCATATGCAAATTCACATTATTATTGGCCAGTTTTAAATTATTCCTACGTGGCGACCAGCGATTGGCTTGCTAGCCGTATAAGAGGTTGAAGCAGTTTCCGCCCAAGTTGGAGAACTCCACACACACCTCGTGGAGAACTCTGAGTACACTGTGGAGCCTAGCAAACTCCACGCGTGTTTCAGAGCGAACTTAGCGGCCTGATCAACCACTAAGGACTCCCCGTCACCGACCCAAGGGGGCCTAGCACACCCCCACCCGAGACGTAAGACGACTGCCAGCCTGAACACCCCGAACACATTTGCAGACCGACCAAACAAACTTTGTAATTTCTGCCCGACCCAAGTTTTGTTTACAACCGTAATCGAAGCAAGCTTCTGGCCTGCACTGTACGAGCAGTGTAAGTAAACAACCTTTTTGTTCAATCAAAACACTTGAGTACCTGATTCCACTCCAAGCGTCACAAGTACCCGCCCGCCGACTAGGGCTCCTAAGGCCCTGAACCCCGCGCCGCGGCTCTCGGCGGCGACATAGGGCACTCACAATTTGTCCCACAGATATTTTTTCCTTCGTCCTATCCACTCCAAAACGGATACTGGTTCTCACTGCCAAACACTCTGAAGCGCTATATCAATAAAACAAGCTGTTTAAGCCACAGCAGTAAAACAAAAAAAAAGTCCAAGTCACTCTGAGCTTGACATCCTACCATACACATACATACAGGGATACGCGTGTTTTTAATTATAATGTTCCTTGAGGCAGATCTAGCCAGATGAATGATTCCTGAAAGAATGCTAGATGCTGTTTTGAAGAATCCAAGGAGTGAGGGGGAACAATTTTGGCTGCTTGATTTCCTTGTGTGTGTTTGAGTTGCACACATACCCAGGAAAGACAGGTGATTCAAACTGAGCTGGAATATGGATGTCAGGGGTTAGTCAGAGAGAACACCCATAACCTGTAAAAATGAGATATTTTTTAGAAACTCTTCAGTGAAAAAATGTTCTACATTTATAACAGGCTCATCAAAATTTGCATGACTTCCTAAATGTCTACTCTAATTCAAACTGCACTCTTGACCTATTTAGTTTTATGGATTTAGGAAGTTGTAGCATACTGTATATCTCTATTACGAACTTTAAGTGTGCTTTCAAAGTGAGATCACAGACATACACCTCTATGCTTTCCTTTTTATTTCTAAAGGGATTTATAGATTTAAACAATTTTTAATAAACATTTTAATGCGTAGGATATGAAAAATATGTTATCTATTGTTTCTTACATTAAATGAGTTCATTCTTTGAAAAGATATTAAAACTTGGCCCACCTTTTGGCAAGCTGTAATTTTTCAGTAAAATTCTCTTGAGCTACATTTCAAAATATACCTTGAAGGAAATAAAGAAAGATAGAAATATCAAAATTTGAAAAACAGATTATAAAGTTTTGGAGATAAAATTATGAGTAAAGGTTTTGCTACTTCAATATATTTTACAATAAGACAATGGGAAAATAAATAGAATAAAATAGAAATGTTGGTGGCTGTATTCCAGAGAAAAAATGTAGTAATAACTACTATTATTATTATCACCATTAACTACAACAGTACTAGTAGTAGTAGTAGTAATAATAATAATAATAATAATAATGTCCTGCCCTGTGTATTTTTCTTAGTATCCAACAATACTGGTTAGGAGCCTATTTTAGAAAAGAAAAAAATTATCTCTGATGTTACTACAACCCCTCTGCAGTCAACAGGTGTCTTTTCAATAACTCCTATGGTTTCTGGAGGAAAGCTAAGGGAGTTTGCAGTTTTCTAGATGCTAAGCCACCACAGCTCCCATTCATCAGAATAACTGATTTAATCACTTATTCACTTTAATCACTTTTATTTGTTTTAAACTTCAGTTGTCAACAGATGGGAAAGGTAAGAGTTTAACCATCCATAAACTTTCCCAGCCAGCTCTTTTCTTGTGCCCTATATTTCAGACTGTCTTCCAATCACGAACGCATTGGCAT